ACCGCGGCGTTGCCCCGCACAGCGGCCTCGCTGACGAACGGCGGCCCTTCCCGCCTGGCCACCACCGCGGCCACTGCATCTGCCGGGCCTCAACCTCTGCCTTCTTGTTCAACGACGCAGAGCTGGAACACGGGGATAGTCACTCGGCAATCCCTTACACAGGCAGCAGTGGAGATTCCCGCGGCGCCATCTTTCGGAGAAGGCTCTCCTCTCTTTAAAGACCTGAAAACTTAACAAACTTCCCATCACTGTTTCCGAAGCTTCTGAAGTCTGGATCTTTACAGGACTGTGCACCACCCTCCCTCTATGCTTCTGCCCGTGCCTGCCCTCACGCTGCAGCATCATCCCTCTCCAGCCACACTCCAAAGTTGAGGACTGAAGATTCCTCCTCGATTCTCCAACTAAAATTATTTGTTCCTTTATTAGAATCAACTTTTACAAATTTGCTTCATCTCCACTATTCACTCAAGTCTGCCTTGAATACATACAGTTAGCTGTTTACAGTTATTTTCCCTATTAGGCAGGAAAAAACTTGATAAGAGACTATTATTATCACTGCACTGTCAATCCTTATTAAATGTTTAGCATGTATCATACACTGTGCTAAACACTTCACATGGGATCATTTAATCCTCATGTGATCATTTAGTCCTCTTAACAAAACCCCATGGGGGTAGGTACTGCTTATTGTCATCTATGTCATTATTCCAACATTCCTCAGTAACCAAATGCAAACAAAATACAGATAATAATATATAAAAGAAGACATCTCAAAAGAAGAAACAGAAAATTCAAGGGTTATACTACATGTGTTTATACGTCTCTAATTATATATTATATAAATTTAATATATACAACTGGTCTTTATACAGGCCTCTTGCTATACAGGATAGAGCAATGACCTTTCTTTTTGTTTTTTAATTCATTTTATTAATTTTTTTTGTTGTTGTTGTTGTTTTCCAGTACAGGGAATTGAACTCACGACCTCATGCTTGCCAGGCAGGCACTGTGCCACTGAGCTAAATCCCCAGCCCCAGCAATCTGGGTTGTATTTCTTTTTTTTTTTTTTCCACTTTTTGTTTTTTTGTTTTTTTTTTTCCGGTACTGGGAATCGAACTCACAACCTTGCGCTTGCCAGGCAGGTGCTGTGCTGCTGAGCTAAATCCCCAGCCCTACCTATCTTTCAACTCAAGAGAATTTTACAACAAATGCAATCATAATGCAACTGACAAAGCAATATACAAACCTTGGATAGCAGCTGAATCTATAATGAATGTTTGGATACTGTTAAAGAGATCTTTGCATTATGTAGGAAGTTAACGCAACTACCTACCTCCAAGGTACCTTCTAACTCCCTAGTTCTAGGTGAATTACCAGTATGATCTACAAATGGTGGATAAAACAACTGACATCAGAGCGTTTTATAAGAGCTTAAAAAAAAAAAAACACAAATTAACCAACTATACTTAAAACAGTGATTATGGGTCGTATAATTCCGCATTTTCCTTATTTTTAAAAACATTAGGATAAGTATTCTCATTATATCATAATTAATTAAAATACAAGATACACCCATAAACTAGCGTGAATAAAGGAAATAAATCCTTTATGGTAAGTGACTGATATAATCTTAGTGAAAAGTGAGACTTTTTGTGTCCCATGCCATGGCTTCTTTGATAACATTCATTCCAACTGTATCATAAAGCTACTTCTTATTTTTTAAAAAATGTTAACCTATAATAAAAGATAATAAAGATTATTTCATGTAGTTATAGTTAGCAGAGTTAAAAATAAATGAATTGCTAGGACAAAAATGTTCAGTAGTTTCTTGGTCTCCATAAGAGTTTTCAAAACTGACTTGCTGAGCCAGGCATGTTTGCACACACCTTTATGCCAGCACTTGGGAGGCTGAAGCAAGGAGCATCACTCCAAATTTGAGGCCAGCCTGAGCTACATAGCAAGTTCAAGGCCAGCCTGAACTGAAATACTTAGTGAGACCCTGTCTCAAAAGTAAGTTGAGGGCTGGAGAGATAGCTCAGCGGCACAGCACCTGCCTGGCAAGCACAAGGTCTTGAGTTCAATTTCTGGTAGCAAAAAAAAAAAAAAAAAAAAGGTGATTTGCTTAAAAGTGAGTAAATGTTGAGAATAGAATGAAAACAAATGCATTAGGATCAAGGAAAAATAAAAAAGAATGGATGGGCTTGTTCATATGAGAAACAGCAAAGCAGGATAGAAGAGAAAAATGCAAAGGAAGAATGCTGAGGTAGGGAAGACAGTGCCTAGAGAGTGGCAATCTCAGAGGCGCAGTTTCAAAGTAGTTCTCCTAACTCTGACAGTGACAGGTAGAAATATTCATTCATTTCTTTGTTTCTAGCTAAATAATCTTTTGTTTTTATTTTGCAGTACTGAGGACTGAACCCAGGGCCTTCACATTGAGCTACATCTCCAGACTTTCTTTTTCTTTGAGACAGAGTCTTAATAAATGCCCAG